ATCACTGGAGGCATATTAATGTGTAGTCATGGGGGGGGGCCAGTCCTGGCACTGTTCCTGGGCTTCTGTTTGCTCAAGGCTAGCACTTTACCACTTGAGCCACAGCAGCACTTCAGCTTTTTCTGTTTATGGGGTAGTAAGGAATTGCACCCGGGGCTTCTTGCATGCTAGGCAACACTACCACTAAGCCACATTCTCAGCCCCTAAATACATTTTTAATTAGAGTAAAAGTTAGTTAAATTTGCACAGTGATGGTATGTCACCACCAGGCTTCTATAAGAACTAGATCATTTACTCTTTGATCAGTGGTCTATAAAATATTAGAGCGATTTTTCTTGTGTTTTTTTCCAGCTTGTTCTGTCCATTTGGTATGAAAGTAACACCAATTTTGTGCTAGAACACTATTTTAAGGCAAGCATCAACCAAAGTCTTGTTTTCACTGTATTTGATGTTGGTATACTTTGTGGAGGGGAAGGGAAAAAACAAATTGTTTAAAAGGGATACAGGTGGACCCATTGCAACAATGAGATGTCCAAGTCATTATGTCGAAAAACAAGGAGGGAAAGGGGGAGCCTGGGGGGAGGGGGGAATCGGAAGGGATGGGAAGGGATGGGAAGGGGAAACAAAGGAGGCAACAATGCTTGATAAGAAATGTACTCATTATCTTGCCCATGTAATTGTCACCCCTCTGTACAGTATTTTCACAATAAAATAAATAAATAAGTAAGTATACTACAAATGGGAAAAAATATTAGAACCAATTCAAAAGCCTCAGATTCTAATTCCCAAATCCTGGTTTGCATTTTTTTGCTTATGACACATCTAAAATAATCTAGACCATTAAGAGATTCTTTTCAATTTGAAGGCTAAATTCCTAGAATGATTAACTTAAATAACTGCTATGTTTTATTTATTTTTTTATGTACCAGTACTGGATACTGAACTAGGACTAGAACTCAGGGTTTGGGGGATATCCTTTAGCTCTTTTATTCAAGCCTGGTGGCTCTACCACTTGAGTAAGAGCTCCACTTCCAGGTTTGGTTGTTAATTAGAGTTAAGTGTCTCACAAACTTTCTTGCCCCTGCTGGCTTCAAATCATGATCCTCAGACCTCAGCCCTGAATAACTAGGTTTATAAGTGTAAGCCACTGATGCCTGGCACCATAGCTATGTGTTAAGAATTATAATTTGGGAAGATAGTTCCATGGAATGCTTACTTTTTTTAAAAGGTGAGAAATTTAATAAGACAGTGAAAAGCTAGAGAGAGGGGGAATAAATTCAATATCTGTTAGCATGCTTTGAAAACTTCCTGTATGATAGAAATTATACATAGCATTATACCTGTAATGCAAATTTTACATTTCTACTGACCTCTTTTGTTTTTATTTCAGGAAAAATCCTCAAAATAAATGAATAAATAAAGCTCTCGGAAGAAATTACTGTCATCACTAAAACAATGAATAAATCCAGGTAAGAATTAGTATTTGAAACCAGAACAAAGTATTATGAAAGGAGTACTATGTTCACAAAAGAAAAAAAAAGGTATTTTGGGTGTCTTTAAATAATCAATGGCATCCTTTCAAAACATGAATGTTTTTGGTTTCTTAAATGTTTAATGTTAATGTCTTAAATGTTAAATACTTTTTATAATATTGTATTTGACAATTTCTCTAAGGAAATGTTTATGAATTCACTGCCTATTTTTATTTACTTGCTATTGATACTCAATTTCTTCATGGGAAATAAAATTTCCATGCTTTAAAAATATTTAACCATGTAAAATTTCCTATTTATTTTCAAAAATAGTAAATCATGATTACCTCCCAAGTAATTTTTACTTGTTCACTTGAACTTTGATTGTTGGCACATACTAGCTCCCTAAGTTCAGGTGTTTAATTCTATTGTGCAGATTTTAAGATTGCCCTGAGCTTGCTCTGCCCAAGGAAATCACATGGTAGTAGCATTCCAAAATGTCACAAGTTTTGTTTTCCTTTGTTTAATTTTTCTACAATGGTAGAAGTATTAAAAACAATAAGTTATTGTGCAACTTCTCCTCCAATGAATTTGTTGTAGCCTCATTTAAAAAAATAAAAGCTGATTTTGAATTCTTTTGACACTGCAATCAGATTACTATTTTCATACAATCATGGAAATTTAAAATGCAAAGTTAATTGAAAGTATAAAGATGAAAAGCAAGCGCTATGCCTAAAATAGTGCACGACAGTCATGTTTCACTTAACTCTCAAGTCAGAACATAAATTAAGAATTCTAGATGTGACATGCCAAATATCTGAGACATGGAAGAATGCATACAACAGAATCTGTACCAGTTACAAACCTAAACGCATAACTTAGGAGGCAACAAATTCATGCTTACACACTGGCAACAAATAATGCTTCACTTATTTTCAGAAAGTGATGCTGCATATAAATCCCAACACCACTTGACAAAGTACCAAAAATTCATAAAAGCATTTCCCCAAGCTTTGTTTTATACCCCAGAAAATCAAAAGAACACTGACACTTTGAGTCTAACATAAGAATTTTTTTTGGTCATAACAAATTTAAATGAAACAAATATTACACAAAATATTATTAAAAATATATAAAAATCGACAGCATAAGTATATACAGTAAGTATGCCTTTGCCCTATTTTTATAAGTAAGCAATTTTATGCATAATTATGTTTATAGTTAAGGAAAATCACAATATTTAAGGTTTTCTTTATATTTTTGTTGTATCCCTTTCTTTTTTTTATAATTGAAATATAAGATGACTCATATAGGAATTATAGTTAACACAAAACAAGAAAAATATTTCAGAATATACTGACACACAAATTTCTTCAGCATGAAGGCTGAATCAATAAAATACAAAATAATTTTGACATCCTCAAATAAATTATATAACATGATAAAGAAAATAGAGATGTTCAAATACTAACTTTAAAAACTCACTAGGTACATTCACCTCACACAAACAAATAAAACAGGAAATATTATTCTTTGTTATTTAAGACTAGAGTACAACCATCATAAATAAATAATTTCATCTTCCTTCTTTAAGAAGCAATCTATGAAAAATAAGGTAACAAACATGAGTAATATTACCCTTTCACATGAGTTCTTTTTAAGATTCACATAGGCACTTTTACAAAGTGATGATATATTTAGACTGTAATATCTAAATAAAGGTACTTGCTAAATGTGTTGCAAATTGAAAGTGATTTTCAGACATATTCTAGAAACCCACTGTCACGTTCAATGCAAGACATCCCACTTTGTATTTTATCTGTCAATTTACTTTCTTCCTCCACATGCTTGCATCTCTGTTCCCATTCCCAAATTAGACTTTAAAATCCCTGAGGGCAGGACCTATCTATCTTTTTATTCCCACTTGTACCCAATATTGTGGCAAGCAAGACATGGGGTGCTCCATTTTTATTTAATAAATGGATGAATAAATGAATGAGAATGAAAGTATATGCAAACCCCACAGCTGTCAATTTTCTGCCTTTCTTATCTCAAGTCAATCAAATGGAGATGTGTTCAGTAACATATTTCCACAGTGAAATGAAGTAAAATCCTAAATTGTATATATCCTTTTACAATACTGCTACCCAAGCAGCGTTTTGTCATTGCTTAAAGAAGGGATAGTTAAGTTTCCCTAGCTTTTAGCAAAAGACTTCCATGATGATCAAATAATCTTGAGAAATCCAGTCTTAAAAAATCAAGTAACTTATCTTTACTGCTAGATTCTTCAAAAGCACGTGATATGCTAATGTGCCTTTCCACTCTTTAAGACATTATGAAAGAACACCTTTGTTCTTAGATCATCTCAACAAAAGAATGCTCTAAGGAACAGAGTTTGGGAAGAATAAAAGATGTGTTAAATCTCCTTCACTAAAGCAGCAGTACAGATTGAAAAGAAATTCAACATTCAACATTCACCATTTTGGCTGCACTCACCTGTTTCTCCTAAATAGGTAGTTCTGATATTCTTTGTAGGGATTGATTGTTACAGTCTTTGAAGAATTTTCTTAATTATTCTCAAAATATTTACTTCCTCCTTTTTTTGGTCCTTGTGTGTTCAGAAATAATAGGGAGCTCAGAATCGCTTTTTATTTTTTTAAAAAATCATCTGTTGTATCTTCAGACAATGGATATTCATGTTTGATTCATCTTTGGAAGTGTTCCAGAAACATTAATGCTCATTACTAAATGGGGTGACTAAGTCATTTCTATGAGGAAAATGTTGATAGATCTGGTTATGAGATTTCCTGCAGGGCCATTGTGATTCTGAAAAATTAGTCCGTATACTTCCTGTATAACTAAACTACAAAGGTCATAATTTGAAGTATTTTCTACATGGGGAGAAAAGTACTATACGAATTTGAAGGAAAGTAGAAAGCCAGCTAGCACTCCAATGTCAATTGCCACAAGATTTAAACCAATTGCCAGCTCTGCCATTAGTTGTATGACAATGGAACACTTATCAGTGTTTCCAGATGTCAGGCGTATAAACTAAAGAAAGTAATGACTTACACAGCTTTCAAACTATTTCTTTAAGGAATGCTTTAGCAGTCCGTTTTGAAGAGGATGAGAACAAAGAGGAGTGTACTAACAAGCAGGAGTCTGTACACCTAAACCTGTTTTATATATTCCATCAGAGCAATGATTATTTTTTCAGAATCCTATTAATTTAAACACGGAAAAGCATAGATTGCATGATTTAAACTCTGTTTATCTATACATTCTATAATTCACATTTCTAATGAATATGTTTTCACATCAGAAAAACTCTACATTTGTCTCCATTCATATGCTCTTGGTTCAAGTAAAAAAAATGAAGCCTTTCCTGACTGTTATTATTTTATATAGCTTATTTTATACTTTCATTCTTCATACTTTTATTCTTTCTCATTAAATAAAAAGATGAGTTGACAAGCCACCTTTTAAAGTAAAATCAAAGACAACATGGAGATTGGGTAAAGTTAATGTCTGTCCATGCATAACTTGAAGTCATCTTTTCATGCTGCCTTTGGGCACTTAAACACTGTTCTGAATTATCTTTGAGGTAGAACCAAACCAAATCAAGCAAAACAAAAAAGCAAAAAACATTCACAAATAAAGCAGAGAAGCAAGAAAGAAAGCTGTGAGAGATTTCCTTGGGACATGGTTATTATAATTAGGCTTTGCAATCGTCCTTGACACAAAGTTGAGAAATGGTTTTCTTAATTCGAAGGGCCGTTAGGCGGGCTGCCCCACTGGCATACCAGCACTCACGCATTATTCTTCCCATGACCCGGAGTGCCTTTATAAGAAAAACATAAAAAGTTTTAGCTACTTTTCATGAAACACAATAGAAAAGAAGCAAAACCACGGACCCAGAAATTTTTGTCAAACTTTGAAAAGCTAAAAACAGCAATAAACAATCAAATGAACAAACAAACAAAAAAACCCACAGTGAACTCTAAACATGAAAATAACATTGGGACCAAGCTCCTTTAAAAATGCTTATCAAGTCCAGGCACCAGTAGCTCATGACTCTAATCCTAGCTACTCAGGAGCCTGAGATCTGAGGATCACAGTTCGAAGCCAGCCCAGACAGGAAAGTCCATGAGACTTATCTCCAATTAACCACCAGAAAACTGGAAGTGGTGCTGTGGCTCAAGTGGTAGACTGCTTGCCTTGAGCTGAAGAGCTCAGGGACAGCACCCAAGCCCCAGAGTTCAAGCCCTACAACCAACCAACAAAAACAACAACAACAACAAAATGCTTATCAAGATACAAATATTAGCAATGTAATTGAGCATTCAATTTATTGATTCCTGGGAATGTAGTAGGATGGCTAACTTTTAGAGGTTTAGAGTTTGGTACTTTTATAATGCCAACACTCAGGAGACTGAATTAGGAGTTTGAGAGCAGTCCAGGCTAGAGTGAGGTTCTATCTCAAAAAAATAAGACAAAAAAAGTAAACAAAACACAACAAAAAATTATAAGCCAGGTGCGAGTGGCTTTCACTTGTAGTCGTAACTAACTAATCAGGAGGGTGTGATCTGAGGATCATAATTCAAAGTTAGCCCAGATAGGAACATCTAAGAGATTCTTATCTCCAATTAAGCACCGAAACAACAGAAGTGTAGTTGTGGCTCAAGTGGTAGAGTGCTAGCCTTGTGCAAAAATAATGCTCAGGGACAGTGCCAAGACCCTGAGTTCAATCCCCAGAACCAGCCCAAAAAAAGAGATAGAAGAGAATTATAATAAATATACAACAATGATATTCACCTAAAATAATATAATAAGGGTAGGGGCATATATTAGAAAAAATAACATAAAAGCCTTACTTCACAGCTTTGCCACTGGTTTGGGATACTGGGTCGCAACTTCTGGTCACAAACAACCTTCCTCATTTCCTCAATTGAGGGGTCTGAAGGCACCATGTCATAATAAGGCAACTGATATTCCTCAACAATTCCTACAAGAGATTTGTAGAATCAGTTTTCCTACAAAATAACCAATAAGGATGCCTACTTCAAACTAATACAAATTTGGTCTTCTAGGCATAAGTGCCACCCTAGAAAACTGGAAAGCCCAAGTTCATTAAAATAATGTATCACAATAAAACCAAGGACTCCATTTAAAAGCACTCATTGAAGTTATTTTGTAAAGTTATAAAAGTTTATATACTTGAAATATAAGAACATATATTTATTATATATAATACAATGTATAATTTTTATGATTATATTAGTGTTTTTTTTATCCAAGCTTTTGGTGGCTCCTATGTGTAATTCTAGCTACTTGGGAGGTTGGGTTTGTGATTTGAGGCCAACTTGGGTAGAAAAATTTGTAAGACTCCTTCTAAGCCCTCAAGCTGGGAGTGGTGGTTTGTGCTTACCATCCCAGCTATAGAGGAGGCTAACATTGAGAGTGTTGAGGGTCCATATCAGCTTAAACAAAACAATTCTGAAGATACCTTTTCAAGAAAAATCTGGAGATTTATGCCTGTTACCCCAGTTGTAGCTGGAAGCAGAGTCGGTCTGTGCCAAAGGCGAGACTCTCTCAACAAAACAAAACAAAACAAAAACTAGAACAGCTCATTTCTTTACTCCTAGCTACTTAGCAGGCTGAGATCTGAGAATCTCAGTTCAAAGCCAGTCCAAGCAGGAAAGTCCATAAGACTCTTATCTCCAATAAACTTAAGGGCTGGAGGTTGGCTCAAGTATTACCTGTCTAGCACGTGTGAGGCTGTGAGCTCAAACCCCAGTACCATTAAAAAACCAAAATTAAAGATTATCTCCAGTGAAAATTTTGTGAATTTTTATTTATATAAATCATTGTGTGACTAAGAGTACCTACTTTCTCCAGCTTAGCTACATTCGTCTGTGAATGAAGTATATAACTCCAGCAAATAAAATTGCAAAAAAAAAATAGCTTTCTTTCTGGAAGTTGTTAGGCAACCTTGTAAACGTTCACTTTCTCTTGTTGACATTTTAGAATATTCTAGACATGTAAACAGTTGAAAATGTAAGGGTTAATGTTTATAAAATCTCCGTTCCAAAGACAAAAGAGGCTTTAGTGAATAGAATAGAACTTGAATTCCAAGAAATTCCTTATAAAATTGTTCTCATTAACTATGTCCTTCATATTAAAATATGTAGAGAGAAAAAAACAAAAAGAAAGCTTAGACAAATGTCAATGTGTAACTTATACAAAAAGTTAAGAAAAGCTAGGGTAGGTGTGGGCTGAAGGATGAGTGAGAATATTGAAGGGAGCAACAGTGATCAAGATGCATTGTATTCATAAAGTGCTTTGCTGTATGGCACTGCCTTTGTACAACTACTTAAAGATAATTTTAAAAAATAAAATAAGCCAGGAGCCAGTGACTCACAACTGTAATCCTAGCTACTCAGGAAGCTAAGATCGGAAGATCGTGCTTCGAAGCCATCCGGGGCAGAAAAGTACCCATGAGACTCTTATCTCCAATTAAACACTCAAAAACCAGAAGTGACACTGTGGCTCAAATGGTAGAGTGTTAGTCTTAAGCACAAAGAGGTTCAGGAACAGCACCCAGGCCCTGAGTTCAAACCCCACAACTGACAAATGAAATAAAATAAAAGTGATGAATGTGTTAGTAATGAATGATGTGCCACATTCATTTTTTAAAACTAATTATCCCTCAAATCGTGGGCCAATGAAGGTACCACATCACCCTAGATTACAGATGAGGAGACTGAGGCAGAGTATTGTGAATGTATTCAGGAATATGCAGCTAGTAACTGGCAGATCTGGAATCTAAACCCAGATGAGAGATTTCAGACCTCCTATTCCTCAAAACTCCAATTAGTTTCTTTCTATGAAGAGTTTCATGTTCTTGAATTTTTACAATTCATTTATGAATAAAAAGAGAAGAGGTTGTTTTTGTAGTGTATTTTAATCTTATAAGACGTTAGTGAAATCTGCAAGATTGATGAAACAAAAAGTGGTATCAATACACATTGCAAAAAGGACAGTGACATTTTCATTGAATGCTTACTCAGTAGTAATATAAGCTTCACAAAAATTCCTTAAGTCACTGAAACCAAGGAGCCAGCTTCATCATCTTCATCTTCAAGATAAAGAAAGTGAGACTTGCCTGAAGTCTGACATTCAAGGAGTTGCTAAATTAAAGCTTCATTCTAAGAAGATCTCATCTAAAATAAAAACTATACATGGTGTCCTGTACCTTGGAGGCAGAAATAGGAAGGATCACGATTTGAGATCTGCCTCTGAGATCTTGTATCTCCATTAATAAACAGCATCACATGTGTGATCCTAGCTATGTGGAAGACAGAGGTAGAATCTTAGTCTCCAGTTGGATGGTGCAAAAATCAAAGACAGTCTTAAAAAAAAAAAGAAAGCAAAAAGGGCTAGAGGCTGGCTCAAGTGGCAGAGCACTTGTCTTGCTAGTGAAAGTGCTTAACTTGCAACTCCTCCAGTCTCTTAAAAAAAGTATAACTTCTATAAATCATATTCTATCAATATTTAACTTTTATCAATCGTTTCCCCAATTTCATCAGACTGTGTGTGTGTCGGCTTTTGTACACTCAATTTCTTCTTTCTGTTATTAAGAGGCACCAAGTTTGTCTTTGCTCACATAACCTATGCTTTACTCACCCAGACTCACCTCACATTCAGCACATGAAAGGGAAAAATAATGAACAAGAAAAGGCTAAGAAAGAAAAATCTAGCTTAAGTCCTACAGTCTTGAGAAGTCATGAAACTTCTTTAACATATAAGCTACAAATAACTATACACAGACTTAAGATAATTTTCAAGTGGTTCACAAAGCAGCATTACAGGAATCAGAATTTCCAGGACAACTGTCATCTCCATCTCAGCAGAACTCAAAATACAAAATCTCCAGTATATAAAGCAGCATGCTCCACTTTTATCCCTGAAAAGATAGCACCAAAAGGCAATCTCTTAAAAGTTTTAAAATGATTTGATATAGTACTTAGGGGGAAAAAAGATAGTCACATTTGTATTCAGAGTATCAAGGAAAGGTAAAGCAGACAAAAAGGATTATTTTCAAAAATCTTACCTCCAACTGAACACCTTCGGGCTATTTCCCAGTAAACTAGACCAACAGAATAGATGTCAGCTCTTTTGAAGGACTCGAAAATATTCAAGTTCATTGTATCATCCAGCATTTCTGGAGCCATGTACCTTCAAAAACACACACACATGACAGATTCTGTGTATGACTTTTCAGCAGTCCAATAAAATAAAATCTTAATAAACCTGGGTACAAAGTATAAATTAAGATGGCTCACATCTACAGTCCTAGGAAAATGAGATCTTAGAAAAATGAGATCTGAGGTTCATGGTTTGAAACCAGCCAGAGCAGAAAAGTTTGTAAGATTCTTATCTCCACTAACCTACCAAAGCAGCTGAAGTGGAGCTGTAGCTCAAATGGTAAAGCACTAGCCTTGAGAAAAGAGGCTCCGAGACAGTGTCCAGACCCAGAGTTCTAGCCTTGAGACTGGTATCAAAAACCAAACAAACAAACAAAGAAAATGAAAGAGAGAAAGAGGGAAAGAAAATAAGAGAGAGCGAGGAAGAGGAAGGAAGGAAGGAAGGAAGGAAGGAAGGAAGGAAGGAAGGAAGGAAGGAAGGAAGGAGAGGGAGGCAGGAAAGGGAGGGAGGCAGGAAGGAAAGAAGAGAAAGAAAGAAGGAGGGAGGGAAGGAAAGCAGCCCTAATGTGGGGTCAGTCACATGGAAAAGTTAAGGCTGGATTTTTCTTTTTTGTTTGTTGATCTACATATCTTTGGGAATATAATGGAAAGCACAGAAATGGAGGGACAAAGGGCAAACAAATTCAGCAATGACACTCACAGGACACCATGTTGAAAATGAAGTATACAACTTATGGGTGGGATGGGAGGGGGGGAACCTGGAATAGAGCAAGGGAAAGGGTGACACTGACCAAAAGGAAATATACTCTTTGCCTGATTTACGTAACTGCTACCCTTCTGGTTAATTAATTATTTAATTAATGTCTCCTAGGAAACTTAGCAAAGAACTCAAAGGCACTGTCCTGAGATTCCAAATACACCTTAGAAGCCAGCTATACTACCTTCTCTCCATGGCTTTTAACAACTGGAGGTAAATGTTTTGAGCTCAAGGTCAAGATCTCTGGAAATATGTCAAAGCAGCCTGGAGACTGAAATTTAAGTAGAGGAAATGGAAGTGGATTGGCTGGGTGGCCACCTGCTGTCCAGAATGAGAAACATACCAGAAATACCATGACCATGGGCCTGTCCTGCCTTATGTGCTGTATATGCCATTTATACAATGCTTCTCCTTATGTTTTGTACATTTGGTTCCTGTAGATGGCAACTGTGTCCAAACCCACATTACTACATACCACCTCAGGAAATTTAAAAGTAAGTACAACTGTAGATAATGCATAAATTGCTAGGTCGTGTATTTAAATATGAAGGAGACGTAATAGCACACACATACGCACACACATACAAATATATATTTATTATAGAGGGTCCCTAACCTCTCAATATACCAATGCTACACCTGTTGTTTAGAATGTGACCACGTAGAGCCACACCTCATATTCAGTTTACCTATGATGGATAAAGGCTTTGGAGAAGCTATACATTGCTGAAGGATTTTTCTTATTGGTAGGAAAATGCACCTAGAGAAGGTGACACGCTAGAAATAACATATACTCCCTCTTCCCAGTTCCCAGCACTGGACTCTAAATCCAACTGACTTAGCCATATGGTCTTAAAATGTCATCTCTCCCACTTTAAACTTATTGGATCCACTGACTTCTCAGTGACTCAGTAAAACCTGCTGTTTCCTTGGGTCAAGTATGTCTCCACTTGAGACCTGAGCCCTCGATACACCATGGGCATTCCTTTTCCCACAGTGAGCCAGCTTACCTCTTGGTTCCCACCCTTGGGTTCTGAGGTATGTCGATCGTGTTCAGTACTGAATCGTGCTTTACAGCCAACCCGAGGTCGGCTATGGCACATGTTTCACACTTTTTCACTAAGATATTTTTTGACTTTATATCTCGATGAGCAATGGCAGGTTTACCTACAAAGTATAAGGAAAACATATTTACCACTTTCTTACTGAAGACAATGGTTCTAAGAGAAATCATTTTAAATACTTAGCTCAACTATCACGTTCTCAAACAGTTCTTCCCTTACATACTAGCCTCCACTTCAGGCCCTTCATCAGGACACTCCATTGATTGGTGATTGATTGATTGATTTGATTTTAACATGGTGGTTCTAGGTATTTAACTCAGGGCATTACATTTCAGCTTTTAGTGTGTCTTTGAGATTAGTTCTCCCTAACTTTGTCTAGGCTAACATCAAACTATGATCTTCCTATTTCTTCTTCTTGAGTCACTGAGATTACAGTTGGACACCACTAGATCTACCCTCCCATTTGCTTTCTTAAGAGCTCTCATTACTATCTAGATTGTGTTACTTATTCTGAAGTATGTCTATCCATCTGTTTTTCTACACTGAATTATGTCTTGTCATTGTGCCTCCAATGTTTAAAACACTACATGACATTTGGTAGGCACCAATACATTTTTGAGGAAATGCAGAAAGAATTAGCATTACTATGTGTTCATAAGATCACAGCAAAAGCTGGGTGCCAGTGGCTTCCACCTGTAATACTAGCTACTCAGAGGGCTGAGATCTGAGGGTCATGGTTTGAAGCCAGCTCAGGCAGGAAAGTCTGTGAAAGTGGAGGCACAGCTCAAGTAGTAGAGTGCTAGCCTTGAGGGAAAAAAAATCTCAGGAAGAGTGCCTGCTCCTGAGTTAAATTCAGGGCCAGCATCTGCATGTGCACACACGCGCCCCCCCCCCCCCGCCCCCAGGTCATAGCAAATATATTCTAACTAAATTCAATGTTTTACTACCCTAGATCAGCGGTTCCCAAATGTGAACTAAGGCTCTATGGACATACTTGAGAGTATTTTCTAACTATATTATTTGTGAGATCCTGTCTTTTCTTCATTTCAACTAAAACACAAAGATTTAATTAAAAACAGATATGAAAATCTAGTCCATAAGTTAGACATTAAACAGATGTGCAGAAAATAAAAATATTATTTTCACCAAATAGGTTTTCTGTATCACAAAACATGATGGAATGTTTAAAAACTGTTCTTTACATTAACATTTAGTTAATTGCTATTTCTTTGACAGTAATATTGTTTACTTTCCCAATTTTAATTCTATTATGGCAAGTATTAATGTAGCCTACATACTCAAAAGCTTTTTCAGAGTTTGTAATAATTTGTAAGAGTGTAAATTTTCATGAGCCCAAATTTGAGAACCATTAATCTGTTGATCATTTTTTTAAGTCAATGAATTGAGGAAATAATATTATTTGGCCGTTAACTAGATGATATTCAAATACTCTATTATGATTATATCTTTTCTGACTTTTTAATTATAAGAGATGAAAAAAATGTTTTTGGTCGGTTGTGGGGCTTGCACTCTGGGCCTGGGTGCTGTCCCTCAGCTCTTCAGCTCAAAGCTAGTGCTCTACCACTTGAGCAACAGTGCCACTTCTGGCTTTTTCTGTTTATGTGGTGCTGAGGAATCAAACTCAGGGCCTCATGCGAGGCAAGCACTCTACCACTGAGCCACCTTCCCAGCCCCATAAGAGATGAAATTTAAATTCTTTTTATTCTTGAATATAGAGCTTTTGCTACCAGTACAAGATCTGCAGGCATATGGTTAGATGACACAGACAAAGCTACTGAGAATAAAATTATATTGTGGTTTATATAGAAAATGATGTAAAATATGTGAATGATGGCTATATCACTTTCATTAAGTACCTTATGGTCATAAATTACCCTGTGTTCCTTTATATTTGATATTGTCTTAAGGAACTAAAGTACAATTAAGTACTAAAACAACTTGACTACTAAGACAACTTAATAGTCATTCTCTTATTTGAGCAGAAGAGGTTGGAAAGGAACTACATACCTTGTGTCCCAACAATCTCCATGTGGAGGTGAGCCAGACCGCTAGCTATTGAAAGTGCAAGTCTGACCATTCCAGCTTCAGTCACTATGTTTCTGTTCAAGTAGTCATACAGGGAGCCTTGTTCATGATACTCAGATACAAGCCAGAGTTGAGTCCATGTTCCATTATCTAACAGGAAAACATGATGTGTGGCTGTTAATATATGTTAAGAAAGAATTCAAAAGCATGTTAACAAATGTTAGTATTTAAAAGTCTTGATAACAGAGGCATGTTAATTCATTTAGTAGGGAGTAATGTACAAAATTCTCAATGAATCATTGTTGTTGGGATATGAGAACCCTCCATCAATCAGAAATTGAAAAACAATAATTCTAATAACTGAACCATTCATTTCTTATTCCCTCTAATCTGTACCTGCTAGCAATAATAATCAATGGTAGGTGGTATAACTGACAGGCTTTCATGTGCTCGGTACTGTGTTATAAATTACTTCAGCTTTTAAAAAAGATTATGTCAATGGAAATGATAAATAAAACAAAATTTCAAAGGTATTTTTACTATCACAGACTTGCTAACATTCAAACAATGAATGGCCATATTTATGTTCCATTCAAAATAAGAAATTGATGACTTTCCCTAAACCCTTATATAAAGAGCCAAACAAAATGATAGACATTTTCAAGGTAACTTACTTCATTAACTCAGTAAATCCACTCATGTTTATTTAATGACTTTTAAAAGAGAAATTAGTCTAACACTTCACTAAGTATTAGAGCACCCAGGACCAACATTAGTTTTCTAAATAAAATATATAAAATACTCTGACCAGTTCTGATACTCAGTGAACAGAATCTATAATAAACATTTGCTAAGAATCTCTCTTGCCAGATGCTGTGTTAGAGGAGCTCTTTGTTATCAAAGTATTTATCTTCCAAGCCCAGTTAGCCATAAGATTTCCTAGGAACACAAATATCAACATAATGATAAGATCACTAAGAAACTGATCAAATGAAAAGCTCAACCTTACATTCTCTCCTTTATTGTCAGGTAGTGGCTATTTTTAACACCCCCCTCAATCTTTGTCAGACAGTTGACTAACAAGTAAAACTATAAATGTTGCAAAAGATAAGGGAATTCAGGAAGGTTAAAGAATATTAGAAAAACAGGTTGACAGGTAAGGATATGGCAGAGCTAGACCAATTAAATTAGAGAAAACTGATGATGATCAGATGATTTGCTTTGCATGTTGTTTTATAATCCAACAAACACCGTGATTACATTAGTCCATCGAGATGAGTCAACTTATCACAGTCATAGCAAAGTTGGAGTTGATTGCATTGCTAATTAGCCTAACCATCAGGTAGGATAGGACAAGATTAGGAGGGGAAAATTGCCTAGTAGCCAAACAAGAAATGTCTCTTTCTTCAAGTCTGGATGTAGTTTTAAAGTTCAGGCTGTTAAGAATTTGGGAAAAAACTTACTCTTTAAGTTCATCTTGGCTTTACTATATTTCCTCCTAGATAGTCAGAGATTAGAAAATCATCAGAAAACACTATAATGGCCAAAATATATGATAAATGCTAACCCCCTCTTCATTATGAGTACTTTTATGAACAAATTTATATTTGATCAAAATAACCATAGGTTTCTAATTTATTCAGGCACTATTAGATGCCTAACACCCAGAGATTATTCACTGTAGCCTTTATTGTTTTTAATAAGGTTGTAACTGTGAGTCCACTAATTACTCTTCCTTGAATACTTTAGAAGGTAAAACCTTTATTGAAAAAAAAAGTAATCCACAGGTTCATATGCAGCTAATGATTACTCAGGTATCTATGAAATATTTTAGAAATATTAGAAAATTCTAGAGAGCTGATGCTCCATTTTCCCTCCAGTTAGCTAAAAAAAGTTTAGATTTTCTTAATGTTAAATTTTAAAATATATATTATATTCAAAGCAGCACTACTAGAAGCTTTCACTGAAATTTTCTTGCCTGCCATCATTCTAACAGAATGTAAAGATAACATTTGTTGAAAACTTGAGTCCTGAAGAAGCCTGTTATACAGATGAAAAATAGATTCTTGATAAAGGTTAGCATTCAGTTTTGTATTTCTTAGTAAAATGCAGAAATGTTTGCATTCTGGCTGGTAAACAGCTTCTATTCAATACTCCCACTGACATCCCATTGCTCTTGCCTTTGAAGATGCCTCAGATCTTTCCATTACCCACCAGCTACTGAAAAATGAAAACCTATGGGATGGGCTACTGCTGAGACTTCTGTTTTGATTGGTTGGTTCATGTTCCACCTGAGTCATCAAATATGGCCATTTCATTATTATGATTTTCTATCAGTCACTTACCTGGCTTTATTCTATGTTTATGTGACGTTATTTAAGGAAAAGAAGAAAGAATTTTCTTTGCCCAATAAAGAAATTAGACTTTTATGTAGTTTTGATTAAAAACAAACAGATTAGCCAGGGATCAGTGGCTCATGCCTCTAGTCCCTTGGTTCTCAGGAGCCTGAGTTCTGAGGTTCATAGCTTGAAGACAGCAAGAGCAACAAAGTCCATGAAACTCTTTATGTCCACTTAACCATCAAAAAAAAATATGGAAATGTGTCGCAAGTGGTAGAGCATTAACTTTAAGCAAAAAGGTATGGGAGAGTGCCAGGCCCTAAATTAAAGCCCCACCACCAAAAAAACAAACAAACAAACCAACAGATTTAGCCTTATTTGAGAATGCATATGATATTTTTAGTTGACAATACCTTTGTTGTCAGCAGCGATGAAACCAAGGATGTTTTCATGTCGCAGCATCACCGTCTGGTAGATTTCTGCCTCACGAAACCAAGATCTCTCATCTCTGGAGGAGAATATCTTCACAGCCACATCTTCACCACACCACTTACCATGCCACACCTCGCCAAATCTGCCTTTTCCTACTATTTCCTGAAGTACAATCGTCCTCGCAATTGTTCTTTGAACCAAGAGGGGCAGACCTGACCAGAGAAAAGTTGGGGTTGTCTTTGAAAGCAACTCTCAGAAAATATCTGCTCTGCTGGCTAACCTCTTCTCTCGTGTACAGCAAACAAACACTTTAATATTATCAATTATGAAGAAGTAGGCACCACAATAGCAAACTTTAATGTCAAGTCATGCTCAAAAGCATACTCTAATCTGAATAGAAATTTCTCTTCTATTTGTAAATAAAAATTTTAACATAGCCTTCTCTTAGAAATATCTGAGCTCCAAGCATTGTTCCAGATCATCCTGAATTGGCCATCAAAGCCAGGTAGGTGACTAAAGACACAAAGTAAAGAAGAGTATTTTGTTCACATTAAACTAAAATGTGTGATTCCTAGTAAAATTAGGAAAGCAAAAGACTGGTGAATTTTTCAAAAACAAGATTAAAACTTGAAAGTAATGAATCAAATTTGGGTGGCTGATATGGCTTAGTAGTAGAGTGCCTGAGGCCCTGAGTTCATCAATTGTGGATATAGTTCAAAAAAGAAAAAGGAGAGAGACAAAGGGAGAATTTAATTCAATGGCAATAATCCAATGATGTAATGTTGCCTAAACTGAAAATATATTTTCTACAGAATTTAAAAATTCAAGAAAAAGCCAGGCGCCGGTGGCTCATGCCTATAATCCTAGCTACTCAGGAGGCTGAGATCTGAGGATCAAGGTTCAAAGCCAGCCCGGGCAGAAAAGTCCATGAGACATTTATCTCCAATAAATTACCAGAAAACTGGAAGTGGGGCTGTGGCTCAAGAGGTAGAGTGCTCACCTTGAGCTAAAGAGCACAGGGACAGCACCCAAGCCCGGAGTTCAAGTCCCACGACTGACAAAAAGAAAAATAATTCAAGAAAACTTATTCTGAGGGTATGCATATTTGTTAAATCAGTGATATCACACCTAGAATTTAAAGATTCTAATTTAAATAATTTTCATTTAAAATGCAAAGGTTGGGTGTATTGGCTCATTTCCTGTATCCAGCTTCCCAGGAAGCAGAGATTGGGAGGATTAGGGTTCAAGGCCAGTCAGGCAAAAAGTTAACAATGTTTTTACCTCAACAAATTAGCAAAGTGTGGTGGATCACATTTGTTATTCCAACTATGCGGGAGGCATAGGTAAGAGGATCATAGTTCAAGACCTGCTGGGACACAAAGCTCAAAATCCTATCTGAAGAAAAAAAAATATATATATCCTAAAGGAAAAGAGGGCTAGAGGTGTGGCTCAAGTGATAAAGCATTTACCTAGCAGGCCCAAAGCCTGAGTTCAAACTCCAGTACTGCCAAAAATATAAATAAATAAAATGCAGAAAACTTATCTTCAATGTTGTTTACATAATTATTTATAGGAAACAGTAAGGAATCCTACAATAAAACAGAAACATTGTGAAATATGGTATAGATACCATAACACAGATAAGAAAGACATGGATTCAAATCTCAGCTACACCCCTTGGTAACCAATTACAAATTATTTAACCACTCCACTATTTAAAGAAGCTTTAGCTTCCTTCTCTGAAAAGAGAAAAAATAGGGACTATGTCATGGGATAATATAAGAATTAATATAATATATTAATATTATATAATACATAATAATATAATATTAAAATAATAAGCATAGAGAACCTAGCACAGTATCTGACATATTACCCAATAATTATAATCCTTTTTTTTTGGTCAGACGTGGGGCTTGAACTCTGGGCCTGGGAGAATTATAATCCTTTTAATATGTTATTCTTAGCCACTTTTACAGTGGCACTCTTAATGGCATGGGAAGCCACATTTACTACAGTGCCAATTGAAAACATAATATAACTTATTTATTCATACAAATAACTGCATATAGCTCTTCACAATTTGTTGGAGAAAGACTGAAGAAGAGAAAGACTATGCTACGTGCTATGATGGTCATTACCATTTGGTGGAAGTTGGGTGAATTAGAATATTCTTTCTCATTTCTATATCTTCATAATTTCCACACTGAAAATGTATTGCTCTTATAGTCTTATTACCAGAAAGCATGTAGTTGGAGGCCGAATGATAAATTTGTTCTAGAACTCATGTTTGTTATTGTCATTATCTTCAGATGGCTGAGACAGCAGCTACTTTGAAGCTCCTGGGGGCTTTGGCCTTGACTCTCAAAAAGCAAGCCAGTGTTTATTCAGATGTTCTCATCTTCGTGAGAACCACCCACTGTGGCTAAATAGGCACAGACTAGAAATTTGCTGGGATAAGCCTCAACAATTAGTCACGAAGCTCCCCAGTCAGAAAGTTCTTTTGAAACCTTATTATGAGAAAATTGGGGTCTGACAGTAATCATTTGACTTGCCCAGGTCTGTGTTGCCACTGGGAGGCAGACCCAGATCTAAAACACTGGTATGGTCCAAATTCTCTTCTAACCTGTAAGTGGACACAACTACAGTCATGCCTTGTGCGAAGATTCCAACAGCAATGGTAAAGAGTATTTTTGTAACCCATAGTCTGTTTTTCAACTGAGGATACACTTAACAGTTAACACTAATAGCTATTTGACCAAAGTTCTATTTCTTCCTTCTCTCAAGATCTTGCACATGCACACACACACACACACACACACACACACACACACACACACACACACACACTCACACACTCAAAAAATAATCACTATAAATGACATATGGATATTACAATAGAGAAGCCAATGTTTTCAAATTGCAATGGACTGGGCACATAACCCAAGCCACAGACCAGCGATCAAGAAAACATGTAAGATTCTTATTAGAGCAATTAATTTGGGCAAGTAGGATGAAAGTGGACGCAGTATCTTTCAAAGCAACCACCGAAATTAATCTATGTAGTTCTTGTGTGTTCTACCTAGAGTGCACTTGAGGATAACTAGATTTTGCTTTTGCTGTAAGTTCATTTTAATTTCCCCCCCAGGGATTCTGTAGATGTTGCAGCTTGGCTGGTAACATGATCCTTCACAATTGTTATGCCACAAAAGAAAGAATCAAACTTCTTGGTCTCTCAAGAGCCACCTGAGACACAATTCACTCTCAATGATAGTCCAATAAAACATCAGTCCATTTTCCTATCTTGTAGGCACTGTATCTTTCAAATGTGTCCCTGACCGGGTCAAGGATAAACTTCACTGTTTTTGTTTCTCAACATCTGACAAGGCTGTTTCACATTCAAGGTTACTGGCCAATTAGGAAAGGCAGAGGAAGCACACTGCCCATCTTCTTCCCACTAGTGAGCTCTTGTGGCAGAAACTTTGCTGTGGAAAGATCCACAGTCTGATTGATGATCAAAGATGGAAAGGTCCTCAACTGCTTTTAGCCAGGGACCATTGCCAAAGTTATGCAACTGTTTGATGTTTGTTTAGCTTATGTTAGTTATATAGGGGGCTCATTGTTGCATCTCCATACATTTACACTGTATTCTAATCAATCGTACTCCTCCAGCACTCTCCCTGCCTCTCAAAAAACAAAACCCCAACAACACAACCATGTTGTTGTTGTTGTTGTTGTTTTTGGAGGGTGGGGAGGGATGTCTAAAACTCATTGAAATGGACCTAAAGAAATTATTGTTCTTAGTTATGCTTATTCCTTTTTTTCTACAAGGGATCTTAGAATAACCGAAAAAGGAAGAGCCCAGGAGTCAGTAAATCTAGATTTAGATTTAAATACACAAAAACACAAAAACATAAAAAAAAAACCCTTAACACGAATTTTTTATCTTATGCCAAACTCATGACTACTTTTTTAAACTAAACATCCAATGTACTTTAAAAAAATATTTGTATTACTTTCATTTGGAAGAGAAATCCTTGGTCATCCTGAATATATTTAAAAGAATATATTTCAAGTATGAATTCTTACCAAACATCTTTAGATGAACTTGACAAAATGATCTAGTAGGAATTAAATAGATGTTTATTTAATCAGTTTAACTTTATGAATAAATTATATAAATTTTCAAGAAATTAGGCACAGATCAAAGTTCTTTGTGCCTAAACCCCCAGCCAGTCCTCAAAAAATTAGAGGACAGTGACTCTCAAAAGCTTACTTGAAAAGAGCTGACTTCCAATAAGCATTACATTGGAAGAAAGAATGCCTGCTTTCTGTCCAATGATTTAACTCTTATTCTAGTTTATAACCTTGTTACTTTTGAGATTTTCTTTCTTTCCTTCCTTGAGAACATAAAACCTAATTTGGGTGACAGTGATGTAGGCATTTAGGTGATCTTGTCCCCAAAGTAGTCAAATTCTCTAGCTTTATTGAGGACTATTGTGTTCATTCATTCAGATGGATCCAAAGTTACTTCCTATTAAGTATGATTATTACCATCCCTCTATCACCTGCCTCTTTATCTTCTTTGCCTGCCTTGATGTTTGAAGAGACCATTGACCAAGGAGTTTTTCAAAATGTGTTGCATAATGGTCTTAATGATCTTTTGAAAGCAAGAAGCGATTCAAAGGCATCTGAAGTAGCTTACCTAAGCTTACCTAAAGAGTTCCATTTAATTGAGCAATGAAACATGCGCACACTACCTATTAACCTCCTCAATATCTCAATTAATATACTATAAATTAAATTCATGTGAAACTAAGAGGAGATAGTCGTAACAAGGTAAGCATACTGCAGAGTTCATGTTTCTACGAAACGATGTGCTAGCAAGATTTCTGGGTCTATATGTGTAAGAACAGGGAATGCCCTACCACCTTGGGAATTTGTTAATGGAGAAACCTGCTGGGTGCCCCATAAATACTTTGTGCTATGAGAAAGACGCATATGGTCCATAGTATAGCCTGTAACTTGGAGCTGCTGCACCAAGGCTCTGGAGCCAGCTCAGAAAGGCAGGGTTGCTCTACCTAACCCCTGTATTTTACTTCTGTAGACCATATTGTTGACTGAATTCTAGGTCAAGTCTTTGGTAACCTCTCATATACTGCCCAGGTGTGTCTACTGATTCTTAGCCCTTCATAACCAAAAGCAAAAGTACTCCAAATGTGCTACATTGCATAACTAGTATATTTACTTAGAACTCATTGCCTTGACTACAATGACCCTGACTCTTTTGTGCCCATAAAACAGTGACAAGAGATTAGCAGTGATTATTATTAACCACAGTGGGAGAAGTAAGGAGGTCAGCAGAGAAGCAGAAATCATAAATAAATCAATAAAATGAAGTGAATAAAATAACTGTTGAAGGAATAAGAAAATAAAATCTGAACACACAGCTTCCAAGAGCAATAAAAAAAAAAGACTTTTAAAACATGGCAGGCTTTTCTCTCCATCAAATTCTATAATGGTAAACTTTATAGCAGTGTTGACCATTTGCCTCACCAGGCATCTTAAATAATGGAACTCATAGTATGTTGTCAAAACGTTTTGCCATTTAAAATTAGGACTTCTTAACAGAAAAGTAGAACTGGGGCACATACCAGAGCCAGATCCTGAGGCAGTTACATCATAGATCAGATCTTTCAGGGTTTTTCCAGCATTTCCCAGGTTGCACTCAGAAAGTGCTTCTTCCACGTTTGATCTCTTTTTCTTCCTGTGTGTGCACTGCCGATCTTGGCACACCCATATTGTCAGCATGGCAGCTATGAACAGGAGGCAAATGGGCACAGTAATAACAATGGTCAGCTCTGTGGGTCCAAGTTTGGGAGCACGTGGTGATGCTGCAGTAAAAGAAAGAGAGAGAGAAAGGAAGAGAGAAAGAAAGAACACAACCATAAACTAACCCATCCACAACCTCTCAGAGACTGAAAGTACCAGCACCAAAATTTCACTGCACTGTACCCACTTCTGTTCATTGCCAAAGACACTGTGGCATAAGCCAAGACAAGAAAAGAGTCAGGACCACAGCTGCAGCTAAGAACAATGACATCAGTAATCATGACGGACAGAATTAAAATTGTGGGAAATCATTACCATTGAAAACTTTTCTTTATAAAACTCTGAAAAAAGGGCTGGGCACCAGTGGCTGGAGGCTAAATTTTGAGGATCATGGTGTGAATTCAGGGTAGGCAGGAAACTCAGTGAAACTCTTATCTCCAATCAATCGGCAAAAAGCCAAAAGTGGAGATATGGCTCAAGGTGTAGAGTACTAGTCTCGAGTACAATGAAGCTCAAGGATAGCACCCAGGTACTGGAGTCCAAGCTGCAGGACCAGCACAGAACCAAACCAACCAAACAACAAATAGGATAATAAATGAAAAAAAATCTATGAGAGCCATTCTCTGTGGTTTCTGAAGACGTTATTTTGGTGCATGAAACTGGCATGTTGTTCATTCACTGAAACCAGCCTTAGCATCAGTTTAGTTCTCACTCCAGGTCTTACCACCAGGGGTGTTGGTTTTGTGTTTAATAAGCTGTAAGATGTATTTGATAGAACATGGAAGCAGAACTGAGGAGACTTTCATTCCCAAACATTAAGAAAATAGTGCAGGCTCTGGAGAGAGGGAAGCCTGGCTGAGTGTGGGCTGCTTCTTTGTCACCCAGAACTATGTGGAAACTGTCCCTCTCAACACACATACACACACACACACACACACACACACACACACACACACACACACACACACACGCCCTCTCCACAGCCCTAAGACAAAGTTAGAGACCAGATCAGGAAAATAATCACATAACAACTGCACCTTTGAGTCTAAACCAATGACAATGACAACAGACCTCATGAATAGCATTATTTACCAGACTTCCTTGTTTTCATTGAGAAGGCAAGTAAACTTATTGCATTAACTATACTTGCATTTTACTTTACAAATGCAGTCAAGAACTCAATGAATAGCCTACAAAATTAAGAAGAGTGAGGGAAAGAGTGGGTAAGGGAGGGAATAGTGAGAATGTTGAAAGGAGTAACAATGATCAAGATGCATTGTATTCATAAACTGCTTTGCTGAATAATAATTCCTTTGCACAACTACTTAAAGATAATAAAAATGTAATAAAAAACTAAACATCATTTGACCACAAGTATCATTTCATTGTAAAAGAGAAAAGAATAAAATTCTCACAAATGTGTTCATAGATATTTCACCACAAATCTAAAAGTTATTAGTCTACTATAAATAAAGAAAATATCTTAAATTGTTAGGTAAGCTTTGGAAACATAATCCAAGCTCTTCAACCTTTCATTGTAATTATTCACTGCCCACCAACTTCCTTCCCCCCCCCCCACAGGCTTTAGGATTCTAATTGTACTGATACACAGGACAGCATGGCCTTGAATTCTCTTTTACAGGTACTAAGAGTTCTGTTATGACATTGGAAATCATTAACCATGGTTTTGGTCACTTTCAAAGTTTACTGTTATAAAAGAATTTTATTGATCATTTCACAATAATCTTTTATACAGTACTTGCAAAGGAATTCAAGCTTTGCTAAGGCATTCACAAAATGCACTAGGATCAACCTGAATTAACTGTAGCTTAAAACAAAACACCTATTTAAACATAGTTTTAAAGATAAAACTCCACTATCGGAAACATTTATATGGATAAATTTTATTTTAATATTGTTATTAAGAACTACCAATATAAACCTTAGCCTTAACAGGCGTAGTGATTGTCTTCATTTTAGTAAAGCTCTACTAAGCTGAACTCAAATGGCCACTATAGCAACTAATAAGGAAGCAAAAGATCAGCGACCCTGGTAACACAATCATCTCAGCACAAGCATGGGGCATGGGCCTTGGGACTGCTTTTAGAGATATTTATTGTCAAAGCCAATGTTTCTGCCTTTATGAACAAATTTACTAATATGAACTACTAAGAAAAAAGGATTATTCAGCTAGAAAAAAAAACAGTGCCATCCAGAAAGAACTCCTTAAACACTGAACAATTTCCAAAGCAAACATTTGAAAAAGTATGCTTTAAAACAAATGGTTATCATAATCTCTGTTGGAGTGAAATGTAGAAAAAGTGTTGTGTAATCTCCACCAGAGAATCAGAGTAGGCAAAGACAATAATGTAGCTAGGAGCTAGGAGCTAGGAATATATTTTAATAATAGATACTGATAATAGGCATACTAATTTTCTAGCAGTGTCTGTACTCTTTATTTGTGCTGGTACTGGAGTTTAAACTCAGAGCCTGGGTGCTATCCCTTCACTTTTCCACGTAAGTCTGGCACCCTACCACTTGAGCCATCGCTCCACTCTAGCTTTTTGGTGGTTGATTGGCAATAAGAATCCCACGGACTTTCCTTCCCAGGCTAGATTGGACCCCACCACCCTTAGGTAGCTTCTAGGGTGGCTAGGATTACAGGCGTGAGCAACCAGTTTCCTGGCTCACATTCTATATTCTGGATCACAGAACTCTTAATATGTGATCATTTCTAGCTCAGAGGATAGTGAGATGCATTTTCCTTGGAAAGTAACTCTGTAAGAGGATACTTTAAATATCAAAGTGTGGGGGGGAGAGGTGGTGTCTAAATCAAGACATTTCACTCCTGAGCTAATTGAATGATGGAGGATGAGGTCGATGAGAAGAAAGTGCTACTCTAGTTGTGCCCTTCAAGTGTCGCCTCTCTGTAAACTCTGGGTTGGATTCAATCGAGAATGTGTGTGGTAAAGAAGCACAGCTGGCCTTTGGTATTCACCGGACTCAAAATTCACAAGTACACACAGTAGCAAAACATGTATGTAACATGCAACACCATCTCCCCTAAACCTCCACTCATCTCCAAATTACTTATAATAGCTAAAAACTACATAAATGCTGTGTAGCTGGCATGTGCTTTCAGGAATAATGACAAGAGAACATCTGCACATGCTCAGCATCACCACAGTAGTTTCTAAATATTTTCAGTCTGCAGTCGATTCACCCCGTGGGTGCAGGACCATGATCTGGCCAAGGCCCTACTCTGCTACTTCTACTTGTAGTCAACTACTTCTTCCCAAAGGGTATTATAAAACTCATTGGAAAGAATTGAGTCACCGGGGGGATACCGCCAGTGTATGCCAGTGTCAGTAGCTGCAAATGGCCTTCCTACTGCACATGTAGACAATAATCATGTCAAGGGTTCTGAGTAATGTAAACCTCCTACAGTGAACAAGGACAAGAAAGTGTTTAATCAACTAGAAATTCTAACAACCATGGCTCAGATAAAAGTAAGATGACAAAAAAAAAGTAAGATGACAATGATTTCTTTTGTTTTTTTTTGGTTTTGTTTTTTGTCGGTCATGGAGCTTGAACTCTGGGCCTGGATACTGTTCCTCAGTTCTTCAGCTCAAGGCAAGTGCTCTACCACTTGAGCCACAGCGCCACTTCTAACAATGATTTCTAACTTTGACCTGGATCAGAAGATGTGTTATTGAAAGGCCATTCCACTTTTATCTGTTGCAGAATCTGTGGATGGCTACTCTTTTGACCAGTTGCTTAATTTTGCATTAGGAAAAGGACTCTACCAATGAAAATACTTTCTGGACAGCTTCACCTTATGCTGCTGGTTTTCTGGCAGTGTATGGTGGCCAGACTTATTAACATCTGCATAGAAGAAGAAGAATGATTTTATGTCTTAAGGAAATAGGAACACTGGATTGAAGAATATTTTGACATTGACATAAGAGGTATAAAAATTTCCATTGAAGGAGAGTTAGAATTAATAAAATACTGGAAGGAGAATTCCAGTAAGTTCCATAATTCCTTAATTTCAAGGCAATAAAATGATTAAGCACTGGTGGCTCATTCCTTTAATACTAGCTAATCAAGAGGTTGAATTTTGAGAATCCAAATTTAAAGCCAGCCCAGGAAGACAAGGCCATGAGATTCTTATCTCCATTGAACCTGTAAAAAGCCAGAAATGGAGGCCTGGTTTAAGTGCTAGAGTGCTAGTCTTGAGTGAAAAAGCTCTGAGTTCAAACCCCAGTGCTGTCACACACACACACACACACACACACACACACACACACAAAGTCTTTTCATTTCTATTGTAAAACCCTTATTTTCAAATAATGCATGTCTTATTTTGGTAATTATTTGAGGAACACTCTACTCTTCTGCTTTAATTCTGCCGAAAGTCCTTTGGACTTTGCAGGCATGTCTTATATTTCTCTCTCCCCAGGGCATTGCAGAGAGCTTCCTTTTTCAGTGATAATACTTAAAATATTGATGCCAAGAGAAAAGTCACACTTCTCTGTCCTCAAGTTGATGTTACCATAACTTCTCCCATAGCTAATATATTCCACAAAGCAGCTTGTTCTCTTGGAAAAGGTGGATGTGTAATAACCATATTTTCATCTAGCTCAGTGTCCTGTCAACGGTAACTGTTCAAAACATATTTTTAGTAAATATATAATGGTATTTACATGACTGAGAAAGCAGAGCCTTACATAATCTAGAATCCTCAATTTTCAATTGGTTATGAATTTTACTTTGAAGTTCCCATTATGTCCTTTTAAATAACATGTTTATAACTTATATCAATATTCTTGTTTTGGGGGGACAGGAAATGCTTCCTATCTTAAATTTTTTAGAACACAAGTTTGACTTCTTTGTTTGATTTCAGAACATTTTCTCCAAAAAAATAAAAATTACAGCACCCTTCACTTTATGAAGAAAAAAAAAACAGGCCGTTTGGCACACCTGTCAGATGTGCATGGAATTCTCAGAGAGTGAGCTATAAATGGATTTGTTCATGTGGTGGCAGTATAATTCCACAAGG